GTTACTCTAAAAGCATAGGACATGAAATTTGTATTTGCCCAGTAGAACGAGGATAACCCTCTTGTTTACCAAACATGGAAACCAGGGATTTGTAAATAAGGAAACACAACAAGAAAGGGGTTGATTTCATGCTACTAAGCCATTTAAAACCTCAACTGTAGCTGAGCCCCTAGGCAATAACTCACAGCAACCAATCATCTTCTGGTTTATGGAATTAGGATCAGTTAGGAGGTGATTTCTTATTGGTGTCTCTGGGTAAATCCACGGTGCTCTTGCTCTGCGGGCATCATTGCCACAGTATTAAAGGCTCATATGGATAATTTTATGTATAGTCAGTGGACAGAATAGAAAAAGGTAAGTGGATGAAGGAATCTCTCCTACTGAGACATTGAGGGAGATTTAAAACTGGAGCAATGAAATCTGGTGCAGCTGGTAGCCAATCAGCTTCTAGCTTCAGCTTCATCAATTAAGCTTTGACAATAAAACCTGGAAGCTGATTGGTTTCTATGCAGAGCTGCACCAGATTTGGAGTATGCTCCAGTTTTAGTAAATTTCCCCCATTGCACTTTGAAAGAGGGGACTCTCTGCTGTCAGAATACCCTGACCAGCAGCTGCAGATGGCAATTGACAAACACTTTAAAACATTCCCATTCAACAAAAGTTGATCTAATGATATCTTTAACAGGAACACCCACACATGGATCAAAATTCCACGCTGAACTGGCTGAATTTGGATTCTTCTATGGCCTCTCTTTAGCCTTTAAAGCTGATATAATATATATGATACACACATTAATGCAGCTCTGTAAGCATTTCATCTTCATCATCATTGCATCACAAGCAGTGTAAGTACCAGCTTGTGACTTGGTATCAGCCATTTGCAATCCCTGTCCAGAGTGGTGGAGGTAGAACCAGCACAAGGAGTCGATCAGTTCAGCATGTGCTGACAAGATGCATGCTGATGAGAGGAGAGAGTAGGGTGGCATAGAGATGAATTTGTCACTGTGCTACTTCTCCTTTCACTGTCCAGTCACAGGTCTCAGAGGAATTGTGTTGATTGATGTTGGTCATCAGATTGAGGACATCTGGTGGCAGAAAAAGTACTGCAGGGAAAATCTCTGGCTTGAAGGTGAATATTGCAGCAAAAGCTGGTCGTATTGATATTATATTTTTTACAGCTTGTTCACACTTAAGTTGGTTGGAGGTTGGGAGTGGTAAAAACACATAATTGGGCCACATTTTTATTTCTACCATTAAACTGCAAAGTCAGAGAATGGCGTTGTACACATGCCATGGCTTTGGTGCATTGCTTCACGCCTGCAGCAAAAATGATCCCTTAGATCACATGTGTCAATCACAAGGCCCGAGGGCCGAATCCAGTCCGCCAGGCCATTTCATGTGGCCCTTGGACCAAGGGCTTGTTTTCAGCGGTGGTGGTGGTGGAACCCTGCATACTGTGCATGGCACACCCCTACAACCTGCATTCTGTAAACAGCACACTCCTATACTCTGCACTCTGTACGTAGCACACCACTGAACTCTGCACTCTGTGCATAGGGCACCCCTGAACTCTGCACTCTGTACGTAGCACACCACTGAACTCTGCACTCTGTGCATAGGGCACCCCTGAACTCTGCACTCTGTACGTAGCACACCACTGAACTCTGCACTCTGTGCATAGGGCACCCCTGAACTCTGCACTTTGTACTTGCTAAATGTAGCCTTAGGGTTTATGCACACCGGTGAAATTGGGGGCATACAACTTAACATTTTTTACATCTGGGAAGCCCAGGTGCTTTAGCCAGCCATAGACTGGGCTTCCTTGGTGTGGAAAACAGGAGAGTTTTACCTTGTATGCCTTTAAGCCGGCCCTACATGGATTGAAATTCAACCAGTTCAGCAGGGACCAGCTGAATTTGGATCCAAGCATGAGCAGGCTGGTTGAATAAAAGTTGATCTATCAACTTTTCCCCAATGATCAGTGCTGAAGGTTATAGCCGGAAACACTGATGTATTCTGCGGGCTGGGAAGGCTTCCCACTGTCAGAATACAATACCACAGTGAGAAGGATTCCCCCATCTGTTGGCTGAATTAAGAAAAAAAATGAGTCATGTACGGCCTGCCTTATGGCACCCATGTGCATGAACCCGTAATGGGCTATTCATTTATGTCTTGATGTTGTTGGTTGTGGTTCTGCTTTCAATTAAAGGAGTGGATAGACTTTCCCTTCTCAGGATGGATTTCCAAGCCCCTGGCTGCTGCCTGTCCATTCATAAGACTGGTGTCACTGAATCCCTTACGGTTATGACAAGGTTAAAGATAAATGCACCACTTGTGGTAACTTGTCGCTTTCAACTTTCAATCTTTCTTTCTCTCTCTCTCTCTCTCTCTCTCTCTCTCCCTCTCTCTCTCTCTCTCTCTCTCTCTCTCCTTGTCTCCCTGTAGGACGGTTTCTTAAATAAGACAAATATTTGAAAGAGATGACAGCAGATGAATTTGTTTGTATAGCAGCCGGCAAATACACCCCAGAGAGCCATCACAGACATGACAGAGTAAATAGGGACTCACGGCCCCCTCGGGGCTGGAACTGACGGCAAGCCATGGATAGAAATAGCTAGGAATTAAAGTTTGAAGGACAAAAATGGGAAGCGGAGGGACCTGCGGTCAGGACACACACCGGCACCGTGTAAAATCTATTTGTAGAGGACAGTCGGTGTCAGTCACATCCATTCTTAGCCCTTCTATTTGTGACAGCAATGACACCAGGGTTTGGAAGTCCAGAGAGCCGCAAGCCCAGAGCCCCCATATGTTAGCAGTTTTAGAGACGCCATGATTCACATATTTGTATGAACTTGTTGTAAGGCTTTGGCCACTGGGGGCTTCTCCGATCCTACTATCCTGGAGTCACATTACACACACGCTCCACAGGAATACATACAGCCAGGTTTATTGATATATGGAAAGTCATGGAGAGGACTATAGGAGGTCATTTGTTTAAAGCTTAAATCCAACTAAGCAAATGCTGTCTAAATATAAGAGTCATGTGCAGTCCTACTTGAATCTTGGCGTGCTTTGTGTATTTTTTCAGCATCTGGTCAGTAATTCAGTGTGAAATTTTGCCTCTGTGCAGGAGCTTCCTGTAATAAAGACCGCTCACTGCTGCTCTCTCAACCTGGGTGACTGGTCTTGTATCCGCCCCCTCCTGTAGTTTTCTATAGGCAGCCTCCAGTGGGTGGAGCCTGCTGGGCTCCTCCCACAGCTGTGCTTTCTGATGATGTCACTGCTGCTGAAAACAGGCATAGCAGTGGATTGAGAGGAGGCTCAGGTAAGTGTGGGGGGAAGGGGATAGGAACAGATAGTGGGACATTTATTTTAGGTAAAAAATTATTTGACTTTATAAACACTCAAATACATCATTAAATGTATTTTTTAAATTCAAGCAGTGCAAGTAGCTGAATTTGATCTGGTGTCAACCGCTTGCAATCTCTATACAGAAGAGTTGGAGCATGAGAGGAAGAAGCTGCACAGGGAGCCATTTAGTTCATGTGCAGCCAAGAAGCTTGCTGATAGGAGGGAGAGCAGAGTGACAAAGTGATGACTTTATCAATGTGTTGCTTCTCCTTGCCTTATCCAGTCACAGGCTTGACAACCTGGTCTCAGAGGAAGTGGGAGAATAATGCTGGCCATTAGAGTGAGTACATTTGGTGGCAAAAAGGAGTACTGCATGGGAAATATTATAGTAAAAGCAGGATTTGTTGTTTAATCTTTTTTTGGGCTATTCTTTATTTATCCTGTTATTTTTACAGTATATTGAGTTCACCGTTACGTATTAGGTAATGTTACTTAGCAAGGAAAAGAGGTAAAACTGTTAACTGGCTTGTTTAAGCAATTTTACATTGAAAACAATGTCCTGCTTTTCCATCAGACAGGCGTCATTTTTTTTAGGTGGCAGTTTCATTTGGCTGCTCCCACTCTTGAAATTCAGACGCATTCCAGATCGTCCCATGAACGGTGCTCTGGATACCCCTTGGCATGCCACGAAGCAGGCACCCATACAAACAAAGCTGTAAATAACATTTCCGAATGGCAGGCAGTTACAATTCTGAAATGAGTTGACTATGTCTGGCCCTTATGTGTGTGCTAATGCTGTTTAATGAGGCTGGGTTGCAATATACTACATCTCATACAATATTTTTTTTTGGATTTTGCTCCTTTAAAGTGGTTGTAAACCTCTGACATGAAGTATGAACAAAGCATATCCCTTCATAGTGTGTACTTGTCTCAATCCAGAGCACTAAGCATCATTGCTGTCTTGTTCCTCTGCTATCTACTTGAGTGACTTCTGACAAGATTTCCTGACAGGAAGAGAAAAAGGTGATAGGGGAGGGAGCTCCAGCACACAGCCTGTGTATGACAGCCTAAGCTTTGTTCCTGTGTGCTTTTTGAAGGGGGGGGGGGGGTGTCCCTTCCCTCCAATCAGCTGTCATTGAGCTCTGCAGAGTGTAATTTCAGCTCTCCACCCCCTGCTTTCTCGAAGGTTAGACAAGCTGTCTGCACTTTGAATGGATGTAGAGAAGAGAATACTGCAGATAAACGGGTACAACTTGTGTAGGAGGATTTGTTTAATCTCTGTGTATCATCTACGGTCAGTCACTTCACTGGGTGTATGTAAGGGTTTACAACCATTTTAACCACTTCAGGTCTGGACACTTTCAACCCCTTCCAGTCCAGGCCAATTTTCAGCTTTCAGCACTATCACACTTTTAGTGACAATTACTCAGTCGTACAACACTGTACACATAGCAAATTTGTATCCTTTTTTGAGACAGATAGACCTTTCTCTTGGTGGTATTTGATCACCACTGGGTTTTTTCATTTTTTTTCTATATAAATGAAAAAATACTAAAAATTTTGAAAAAAAAAAACAGTTTTTGCTTAGATTTTGTTATAACATTTTGCAAATAAATAATTTTTCTTTCTAAATTTACGCCAAAATGTTCGGTTCGGTGGTGATGAGGATGCTGGTATGAGGTATGGTGGTGATCAGAGCACTGGTATGGCATATGGCAGTGATCAGGGTGTGTGTTTGGTTTGGGGTATGGCGGTGATCAAGACACTGGTATGGGGTATGGAGGTGATCACAAGGGAGAATGTTACCAGCACACCGAGGATCACCAATATGGGTCCAAAAGTTTTAATGAACGATCACATAGTTACAGCAAGGCAATTTTTCGTAGTCTCGCAGGACCCCTTCATCAGGAATGTGACACATGGCACTACCTTGCTGTAGCTATGTGATCGTTCATTAAAACTTTTGGACCCATATTGGTGATCCTCGGTGTGCTGGTGACATTCTGTTCGGTTCAAGCCGATGGTCGCTGCAGCACCCACTTATACACACAGCCATTTTTAACGCAGGAACGTGTGTTTGGATTGTACACCTACATTATGGAGGTGATCAGGGCACTGGTATGGGGTATGGCGGTGATCAGGGTGCTGGCATGGGGTATGGAGGTGATCAGGGTGCTGGCATGGGGTATGGAGGTGATCAGGGTGCTGGTATGGGATATAGAGGTGATCAGGGTGCTGGTATGGGATATGGCGGTGATCAGGGTGCTGGTATGGGGTATGGCGGTGATCAGGGTGCTGGTATGGGATATGGAGGTGATCATGGTGCTGGTATGGGATATGGAGGTGATCAGGGTTGCTGATATGGGGTATGGAGGTGATGAGGCTGCTGGCAAGGGGTATGGAGGTGATCAGGACATTGGTATGGTGTATGGGGGTGTTTTTGTGCACACAGGGACATTGTTTACTATGTGAGTGCTGTGAGTGGTCACAGCAGTCACATGGTAAAACACCATGTGATCGCCCAGACACAGCAGTAATGTGACCTGCTGTCTGGGTGACACATCGATCGCTAGGCTCTGGGATGTGTGCTCTGTGAAAGGTACGTTAGTCTGCATCGGCAAAGCTTCCCACCCGCCCATTCTACATAGACGGCGGACGGGAAGCTTTGCTGATACAGACTAATGCAAAGAATACCCAATCACATGCAAGAAAAGTAAAAAAATGGAATTTTTGCTTGCACATGATTGGCTGATGGAAGTCAGCAGAGCTTCTGCTCATTTACTAAGCTCTGAAGCAACTGCAAAGTGCACAGCCTATTTGCCATTAGTAAATCACCCCCTTAGTGCTCTGGATTGAGACAAGTACACACTATAGAGAGATATGCATTGTTCATATTTCATGTCTGAGGTTTACTACCACTTTACGTTATGTTGTGTGAATGGGAACATATAACAAACATAAAGTAGGTGCAATCCCAATATGGCTGCACAGGTGAATATACACTTTAAAACTGGCAAGACATGTATCGATTTTTCTAGTTCAGCCTACAATGACCTAGTGCAGCAAAGTCTCAAGGTGATTGCAGACTTTGACCCGGGCAGAATCACTAAGTACAACCTCAGTGGCTTACCCTGTCATTGATTTTCTATTAGCAATTGCATGGCAAGGATACTTATTGACGCATAGCAGCAACAAATCAGTATACAAAATACAATCCTAAAAATATTTAGACAGTTTATATTTTTGTTGTATTAAAATGTTGTATACGTTGAAATGTTGCATACTTTTTCTAATGCTTTGGAATGCAGTTGTGTTTATCGGGTGTGATTCAGCAGATACCCGATGCTGATCCAGCTGCTTCTGTGTAGACACCTCCGTCTTGAGTGTTATCCTCCCTGGCAATCGGCAGTTGCTGTCAGCATCCCCGTACTTGGCACTCTGCACTGCTATCTCATGTGCTGTGTCAGCCAATAGGAGGAATGGAGCGCCAATGCTACTTCCCGTCCTTGCTGACAGTTCAAATTGGAGAGGCCAGGCTCAGCACCTGTAGCTGCAAAAGGGTATTAACTATTCATAGCCCAGATTCTACACCAACGTTCAGATGCCTAGTAACCATCTGATATTTCAGTGACAATATTTTTTTTTAAATTTCTTAATTTTTCTTATATCTACAGTTATAATGTTCTTTCTCTGGCAGGTTTTTATTGCTGTTTGCATCCCCATTGGGGAGATTCTCATTTCTATTTATGCTGTTGACTATTACCACTGGACAGAAAGTCATGGGAAATCCAAAATGCTACAGTTATCACCAGAACAGGAGGTGAGGGGTAACTTTCTAATGGGGACACCCGTTCCAACAACATTTGTCTAAGGCTAGGTCCACACCTTTGCAGTTTGCATTTGATCCATTTCTGCAGTGCTTTTTGCACATGCATTTTTGTTTCCCTATCTTGCTGCTGGGCAGATTATAATGCAAAACGTGTCAAAAACGCATCAAACGCACTACATGCATTTCTGCAGCATTTCCATTGAAGTCTATTGAACCAAAAATGCAGTGTTTTGCATTTAAAAAAGTCCCTGACCCTTTCCAAAAAACGTACCGGGTGAAAACGCGGAGATGTAAACCTGTTCCATAGGAAATCATGTTAAATAGACTGCTGTTCATTTCTGTAAAATGCAAAATGCAATGGAAAACGTATAGGTGTGAACCTAGACTGACACCTACTACACACGGGCTGAACTAGTTGACATTCAGCCTGTGCATACGGCAGCGGGTCTGACAGAAGTCGGACGTTCGTCCTGCTTTTTTTCAAAGGGGCATGACTGAAAAAGGTCTGCCAATCGGCTCCTGATCAGCACTCTCAGCCAATGGCTGAGTGACAATAGTATAAACAAACAGAACAAGTTATTTTTTAAAGACAAATTTGTTGCTGATGGTGACCATCCAGATGGTCCACATGTGCGTCAATTTTGGTATGTCATTTAGGCTCCATGTACACTGCAGCTGATAAACTCACGTTTAGGAGCTGTTCAGCGTGTTTTTTAGCAGCTCCTGAACTCTCCCTAATGTTTTCCTATGTGTCCATGTACACATCGTCGTTTACAGGCAGTTGAGTTTACAGTCGCACCAAACTTGCGTTCAGGAGTAGATTTTATCAGCGTTTCAAACGGCAATCCCTTGTAAACACGGCTAACCGCTATAACTCTTCCATTTCCAGATCCTGTCCAGAGCCTTTATTCATCATGAAAAATGCATGCAAACCGTTTCCCGGTACTCAAATGGACCCGGTACACCATACTTTGAGGTTTCGCATGAAAGAAAATATGTTAGACACTGCACTGCAATAATTTCTGCACAGAAATGAGCTGCAACACATCTAAACATCACAAAAAAAAAAAGACAGCTAATCTCAACAAATACTGCTCTCTCTGCTTCTGCTCTCTCTCTTTCTCTCAAAATGTCTGAAATAATTAATTTTTTACTGTTTTTCAGTGCATTCTGGGCATTTTGGAAGGTCTCCTGAGGTTATCTTTAAAAAACGCTTCTAAACACAAATGCTCATAAACGCGCGTAAAAGCGGTATGCAAACGCAGCTAAACAGACGTTTTTTAACCTACATTTTCCATCAGTCAGTTTCCATCGTTCAGAAGTGTCCCGTGTACGTGGAGCCTTACTCCTTCCCTACAATAGCACAGCCGGGGTGATCAGATAGTTAGCAAAGTGGCTCCTCCTGAGCTGTCAGGTTTTTTTTTTTTTGTTCATCCCACTGGGTTGAGCAAAATAAACTAGTAGTGTATACTAGGCATAAATTGGTTGTAAAGGCTCAAGGTTTTGAACCTTCATGCATTGTATGTAGGTTGTGAAAAAATGTTTTTTTTTTAATTTCTTCATTTTCTAAAAAATGAAGACTAAAAAATTATAACTTCAGAAAATTTGCCAAGCCTCTTACTAAATACCTCAGACTGTCTACTTTGCATGGGTCATTTGGGGGATATCTGTACTGTCCTGACATTTTTGGACCTCAAGAAATTAGTTTGGCCATCAGTACTTCAGGATTGATCGATTTTCAGATATATACCTTAGTTTGCGAACTCTAAAACTTTCCTACAGACTAAATAATAAATACCGATTTGTGTTATTTTCACCAAAGACATGTAGCAGAATACATCTCGGCCTAAATTTATGAAGAACAATTATTTATTTGCAAACTTTTATAACAGAAACAAAGAAAAACGTGGGTTTTTTTTTTTCAAAATTTTGGTCTTTTGTTCCTTAATTTAGCAAAAAATAAAAACCCCAGTGGTGATTAAATACCACCAAAAGAAAGCTCTAGTTGTGTGAACAAAATAATAAAAATTTAGTTTGGGTACAGTGTTGCATGACAATACAATTGTCATTCAAAGTGTGAGAGTGCTGAAAGGTGTAAATTGGCCTGGGCAGGAAGAGGGTAAAAGTGCCCTATATTGAAGAGGTTACGGGTGAATTCACACAGGAACAGAAAGCTGCCATAGTGCTTTACTACTACGACAGCTCTCCGTTCCCAGATGCGATAGGGGGTAGTGTGGTGCACAAATCAACGCATTACACAGCTTCCTTTTTTTTCTGTTTTGCACAAACTTTATTTGAAGTTTACAAAATATACACTTCATTCATGGCAGTGTACAGCAGAGACATACAGAGAGCAAGCCTTGCTGAAACAAACAGTTATCTGTTCAGAACAGAAAATAGACTTCATTCCTGAAGAAGTCAAGTGATCTGTGACGCAACGCGTCGGAGGAGCTGGGTGACGTCACTTCCAGTCACAGCCGAAACCGGAAGAATTTAGTTATTCCGCTGCTATGGAACTCATTTTGGCCTGTTTAATGATTTTAACATTAGAGTGGTATTCCTTTATTCAATAAATAGTGTTTGTAGTTACTACACTATGGGTGGCCCTTTTTATTGTTTTTTCTGAGCACCCGCTGATTTACATTGATAGTCGGAGAGTGCCCAGTAAGGTAGTCTACATCAGGTGGAGAGACGGCAGTGCTTGACGTTTGGGAATATTTTAAACAAAGTATGTTTGACCTATATGAGAATATTGGTCAATGCTGGAGGTGAGCAGCCACTTTGTACATTGGTGGAGCACGATTTGGTCCCTGGATATATTACATTGGGAGTTCTGTAGTTGATAAAAGATTGACTCACCATGGAGACTTTTGCACATGGATTTCTGACTAATTTATATTATTGTATGGACATATTTTTGGGGTCATATGCACTTTTATTTATTGCATTATATTTGTTTTGGATAATGTGTGATTGCTGCCATAGACACACAGTGTGTGTAAATTTTTTATGCTTTTCAGTAATTTGCACAAAAAAATAATTTCTTTACATTCTTAGCTATTGACGATTTGCAGCACTGGGTTGTGGTATCAGTTACCTAATTTGAGTAATTATCATTTTATATTTATTCATATGTTTAAATATTCATTGGAAAGTTTGCGCTGGACCATATATTCTCTAAAAGCTGTGCAATGGCTTTAGCGTACCAAGCCCTTGGGCATTTAAAGTGTTACAAAACCCACAACAGTAAAATCAGTCTGGATATGCAGGAAAGCATGCTTGTTATATTCACTGTGGAACCTAAAGGGTTAATCCTCTGCATTGTGTTAAAAGGTTGTTTGATCCTGTCTTCTCTGATCTTCCCTTTCTTTCAGTGCTCCCCTCTTATTTCCCTGTTAAGACATATCAGTGTAGAGTCATGCTGCACATGCTCAGTTTGGTTTATATTGCTAGGGAAGGTTTTTTTTTTTTTTGTCTTGGGAGAGTGCATGTGATCAGCACAGGGCCAATCAGCACGCAGCACAGCGTAATGAAATCTCCTCTTACAAGCTTGAACCAGTGCTCTGCTGGACACTGATAGAAGTCACAAGACTGCTATATACTGTTGATGAGAAAAGGTATTTAGCAGTTTATATTTTCTAAAATAATTGCATTTCCATGTTGTGTATCCTGTGGGA